TCCCTGGGATAAATTCAAATTGATCATGATGAATATAAATTATAATGTGCTTTTGGCTTTGGTTTGATACTATTTAAGGATTTTTGCATTTATGTTCAACTTGGATATTGCCTATACCTTCTTTTTGTCTTTATTTTGTTTTGATGTCAGAGAAATGATGGCTTCGAAGCATGAACATAGAATAAGCTTGGGAAAATTCCATTCTCTTCAAATTTCTTGGAATATTTCAAGAAAAATTGATGTTAGTACTTTTTCAAATAGAACTCAACTGTGAAATCACTGGTTCTAGGCTTTTCTCTGATGGAATCATTTTAAATATTGATTTAATCTCACCATTTATTGTTGATCTATTTGTATTTCCTATTTCTCTACGATTCAATTGTGGTAAAGCACATGCTTCCAGGAATTTGTCCTTTTTCCAAATTATCAAAAGTGTTGACATATAGCTGTTTATAACCCTAAATCATCCTTCTACTTCTGTGTCCAATAGACTGCTTCCCCTCTCATCTGTGATTCTGAGTTCCCTGCTTTGTTAGTCTAGGGAAGGGCTTGTCTGCTTGGTTTGTCTTTTCAAAGACCAAGATCCTGCTCTCTTGATGACTTTGACCTTGACCTTTGTCTGCGGACATGCCTGTCAGTTTTCTCCATCCTAATTATTCTCTCACTCCGTACCTTTCTATGCTACCATTCCCTTTAGAAGGAAATCCTCCTGAACAGCTCTTATTTAAGGATTGGAGCTTATTTACTATCTCTCTGAGGGCACAATACATGTATTATTTGAAATTCTGTTTTATGGACTATTGGTCTGCTCACACATATTTATTCAAGAATTTATACCCATACTATTTATCCCATACTATTTGATTTATTCCACTTAAATTAATAATTTAAATTGCAATAGCAATTTAAACTACTATTTAATTATCCTATCCTATTTAATTTTTTGGTCAATTTTTTCTAATGGTTTTCAATATCTTTGATCTTAGGAACTTCTGTGTTCCTTTGACACACGCTAATTAAAAAAAAAAAGTACTTTCTTACTTTCTGGCACTTCCATGTGCTCTGGGTGTGTCTTGCCATTTCCTGCCTCAGTCCTAGAATCAGCCATTTTTCTAAGAAGCACTGGTTCATATTATTAGAAACTATGATGAAAATGTTCAGGATTCCAGAATTCCATTTTAAGATTTTAAATCCTAACAGCTTCCACAAAAATGTTTTTGGATTACAAGTTTGGTGGACTCAGAGGAACATATTTTGTTTTTGCTGAACTCCATATGAAAATGCAATGCTAAGAGACAGCAGTACCAGGACCAAGCACTGGCTGTCACTGTCTCAAACACCTTGTGTTCTGCTGTGCATAGCTCGACAGCATTCTGACTGAGCAGTACCAAACAGCGTGGTTCCCAGGTACTGTTGAATTTAAAGTATGTAAATGAGAGCTTCTGAGTTTTTATAAAAATTTTAACATGTCAGAGAAGATTTTTGATCTAGGCAATTGAGATGATGTGAAAATAGTAGTATGCGTGGTGTGTAAATAATGCATTCTATTAAAACGATGTTAAGTGTCAGAATGGAAATAAGATCTCTGTTTTCATCTGATCTACTGCTATGTCCTGTGAGCCATAAAGAAGAGTTAAGTGATAGCAACAAGATGTCATAAAGCAAGATCTATCTGTCTATATATCTATCTGTCTACATATGTATATATATTTGATACACACATATATGGTATATATGTATCATACACAGATATTCTTCCCAATTTTCTAGAATTTCAAACATTGGAAAGGGATCAGTATCACATGCTTTATAATGTTCACAGGACTAGCTTTGAAAAAAAATAAAGTAAGAAGTTAAGTGCAGAATACATTAAAAAATTTAAATCAAATAAGCCAAATATGTAAATATATAAAATTGTATTCACTGATGTTTATACTGCAATCTCAGCAAAAATCATAGTAATAAGATAACATACTAAATAATGAAATAATTAAAAACATACCTCTTCAAAGAAACACTAATTTCTTTTTCTTAAATAAATATAATTATTCTTTTTCTCAAGTAGCAGACTCCAGACTCACTAAAGCATCTACAACATTGTTCAGTATAATTTCAAAAATGTAAAACAATAGGGAAAAATTAAGGTAACTGAACTTTCCTTTGTCTTTTTTTTTTCTTGCTGGTTCAGTTAGCCCTGAGGGCAGGGCTGGCATGGCATGTGGCGCCAGGGATTGAACTGTGGAACCCTGTGGCTGCCTAAGCTTGCCTAAGCAGGTGCTTTTAGACCACTGAGCTCCTTTGCCAGCCCTCCCTTGTCTTTTTCTAAATAACAATTTTGTGGTTGGTGTTAGTTTTAAAATGAGACATTAATATATTTAAGGTCCCAGAAAGAAATGAACTGGTCGGTTTTAAGACAGTGAATAAGAAAACAAAAATGTTTTTGGATAATAATATATTTAGTAGTAAAGTTAAGAAAAATTTTACTACCAACTAAGGTTTTATTTTATGAATAAACAGACCTCTCTGGCACACCAGAAGGTCTATTGAAATGACATGATGGGTTCAGATGGAAAGTGAAGAAAACTATTCCAGAAGAACTGACTGAGGCACTCGGGGAACGAGGAAGACTTTGAGAACTTGCAGACCAAGTCCGCAAAAGTAAGGAAGGGCGGGTGAGCAACACGAGCACCGTTCGTTAGGCAAAGCGACACTGTCAGTCTTAGACTAATATAATCTGATATTTACTACATCAACAAACATAAACTATACAAAATCAGAAGCTTTGGGGCCAGTGATACAGCTCAGTGGTGCAAGCGTCTGCCCGGCAAACAAAGTCCTGAGTTCGATTCCGAGTATCAAAAAACAACAAAACAAACAAACAACAAAACAGAAGCTGAATTTTTCCCCTTAAAAACAATAAAGCTTTTTCTACAGAGTTTTTTACTGTTTTAAATTCATGTATTTCAAGCCCTTTGAATTTTTTGCTCACATCCATTTCATTGAGCAAAATCTTTAAAAAGCAACAGGTCAACTACTACAGTACCTAGCACATGGATTCCAACATGCAAAAATATGGCAAGTTCAATCCACAAACTGCTTGTGTGTCTGAAAAATGTCAGAGTGCTTCATGAACTGGGATACAAAAACTCAATCTAAACTACATTTACCTGTAGCACTAAGAAACCATGAAAGTAACAACCTGTTCAAAGTTCTGTCTGAAGCAGAACTGGGGAGTCAGGTGCGTGGCCACGCTCTAGGCGGTGCGGTTATGCTTGCCCTATCAAATGCCTACAACCAGCTACCCACAGCAAAACCAGAGTACGAGTGACATCTTCACCCTAATGATGTCTCCCAGATGTTGCTTATTTAGTTCTCAAAGCTTGTACAATAACTTTGAGAGTCCTGAGACCACCTGAGTGCAAAATCGAGAGCAGGCACATAACACCCGGCACCCAAAACATCTGTAGAAATCAGTGCGCTGGACTTTTTCCTAAAGTCTTCTTCAGCACTTCTCATTACAATAAGCTGCTCCACCCGACAGGTACCTTCATCTGTCTGACTCATTGTCTAAGAGCAAATCAATTTCCCCAAGCAGCACACGGGCCTATTTTGCTTACCTGACTCACAAGCAAATGTCTTGGATGTTTCGTCATGAAAGATAATCGCCACTGCATGCTTCTTCGTCTCGCGAGGCAGTCTGGTGATATTTTTGATGTTGTGCAGTTCAGTGACCTTAAAAGAAAAAAGTATTTTTAACTCAGCATACAGTATGTATTTTATACTGTAGAGCTTAACAATGATCAAGGGATCACTGTCTTAATCACTTTGCAATAGATAACTGTGCTAATTTTTAAGGAAACATTAAATACAATACAATACAACAAAAAAAATCTTCCTTTTTGACCTCAATTTTGGTTATAATTTATAGTATTTAGAACAGTCTATTATATAGAATTGCTCCATAGACTCTATGCTTCTATTAACCTTGTATTCTCAGAAAGTAGTAGCAATTGTGATACAAAGAGGATTATTGCTAGATGTCCATTAAATATGGCCTGCTTTTACCACCTCTCCTAGCTTCCATCCGTCATGCAGTTCTGAGAGCGCTATACAGCTCCAGGGCATTGACCCCATCTATTGGCAATGTGGATTGAAAATTGAGTTATTTAACATAAACAATGGTCTACATGTCAAGAAATGCACACTGCTTCTCATATCAAGGTCAACCCATGATTTATGAACCTAGATTTAAAATTAATTATTCATATGGAAATAAATATCCAGCTAAAAAATCTGCTTTTAACTCTGTTTTGTAAAAGTTTGCCCAGAATGTGTACATCTTTTGTTTTCTTCAATGGAAACAGAATTGCACAAATGTTTATTTTTTCAACTTCTCTGCCATAAAACATTGTGCAATTTAATTAATTATGTAATAATATTTAATAATCTTACATGATTTAATTTTTTGTGATTCACTTTGTAGCATGCTAAGTTTTGTGTCTCCTCCAAATTATATTTCCTATTCTGAATCAAAGTTGTTATCCAAAAATAAGGAGAAATAGCATAATAAACAACTAATTAATATAATTTTAGGACATCCTGTAATGTCATTTCTATGGCATTCTATAATAAATTCATTATTTTGCCTCTGCATAATTTTATCTTTTCTAGTTGTTTTGCTAAGTAGTATCTGATAAACACAAAAGCTAAATAATTACAAAATGTGACTTTTCTGATGCCATCCTGTATCAGCATGCACACACCTACATCTCTATCTATCCATTCATGCCATGAGGAGTGGGTTTTAGTCCTGTGCCTACACCACATGCATAATCAAATCACAGAACGCTTAATTCTTCATTAAAATTGCATAGCAGTTGCGCATAATCTGCACATATCTTCTCATATATTTAAAAGAAATTCCAGATTTCTTATAATGACTAATACAACATATATGCTACATAAACATGTGTTATATTGTTTATGGAATAATGAAAAGAAAAAACCTGTATATGTTCAATATATACAGCTTTCTCATAGCTTTGTTCATGGTTACTTGAATCTACAGATATGGATCTTATCAATATGAAAAATTACAGAGTTAATTGTGAGATATGTGATATATGACTGTGAGCTAATATGCATATAGATAAACAAAGGGTGATCAAAACTATGATGAATGTTTAAATTGTAGAAGATCTTATTACAACGACACATCACCAAGAATTGTGGGATGTTGGAAGTAAGGGGTGAGTATGTTGAGAGGGGTTAATGGCAGTGTGTCTTTCATTGTAATAAAGTTTTTAAACTTAGTCACCATATTTACTAATCACCCAGTTGATTGAATGTTCATGGTAATCTCTGTCAAATAAAAACACTCTGTTGTGTCCTCCTCCCCTGATTGCCTACTGTGGCATCACAGACTTGTGACTCTTCCCTAAGGTAAGAGTTGGGATATTAAGGTGGCCGCAACAGCACAAGTGATGACACTTATGAAAAAGGATTTCCAGAACTACTTCACAAAGTGGCAAGAATGATGGAATAAGTGTTTGAAGCAAAGGCAAGTATTTTGTGAGGTATTAATGGCAGTGATATTATCGCTGCCACGCAATCTGGTAAGACTGTAGCAGGAATTCACATTTGTCCATTCACATGCAACTTTACAGTATGTGAATTAGAAAACTATCCCCATAAAACAGCACATAAAAGTCAAAGGCATAAAGAGTAAGTGGAAATATTAGTAGATCCGGAAATGAGGAAGTGCATATATCAGAACAGAAACTTCGACTCAAATTCATATGTCCAGGGGAACTGTTTGATTTATATTTCTTTGAGTAAGACTGATCTCTATCATCATGAGTTCCAAATTTTCTGGTTTTCTAAAATTTGGAAAACCAGATCATACCCATGACAATTTTGCAGCTGTGCGCACGTTCAGAAAGGCGAAGCTTCTGGTCTAAGAAGGTCACCAAGGAACCTTCCAGGACCGCACAGCAAGGACGGCTCTTCACCGCAGGTCACTCGCCATGGCGCCCCAAGTGGAACGTTATGCAAAGGACTTTTAAAAGCAGGAACTTATTCTTTATGTTTTATGTCACATACATCATTATTTAATAATTGTTGATGTTTTTGTTTCATACAAAAAAATCACAAGCTTGTGAAAATAGCATATTCTTAACTCTTTTCTTACTTAATTTGCCAAATACTGGAAAAAGAAGGCTAGATTTGTTTTCCGTGAAAGTCACATTTTGGTCAATTTATCTTATATCCTAAATTGTCAATTATATATATGTCAACTTCAGTACAGTGATAAATGAAAGAGCCAACGTTCAGCTTTAATACATTTAATTTATTGCATTATAAATCTTCTGTTCTAGAATAGTGAAATATACTCACATACTATCACATGCAGGCACATACAAAAACATTAAATTTACTAGGATAGATACCTACATGTTAGCTCCTGTTGTGCAAGAGGCTTTCATGTATTAATTCCATATAAAAAATTGCATGAATATAAGTATTTATCTTTAAGTTTATGAAACAGTCTAAATTCTTTCTTTCCAATATGTAGTCAATCATTTCACAAGTGTCATAAGAAAGAAATTAGCAAAATAAATCCTAAATTGTTTCAAGCTGTTTTGACTAATAATCAGGTTATAAAATAATTGCTGTAAAAATACTTTGTAAGCAATAGAGTCTTATAGAAAAGAAAAGCATTCTCATACATATGAAATAAGATATGTATGGAAACCTGTTGATTCCTGTTAAAAGTGATGTAAAAAATGACATTTAACATCGTAAAAAATGACATATTGAGTTTCTGTTTCTACTAATTTGGAATCTTTGGGAAACTAAATTTCCTTTGATCCTGTTAATTTGAAATTGTGCACACACAGGCAGTACAGCTGCACAGTGCAAGCTTGTTCATCACACATTTCAAGTCAACCTGTGCTTCAGGACTCCCGTGTAAAATGGTGGCATCGGTCGACAGCAGGCAAGGCATGCTGGAAGGAAAGTTGGGAACTTGTGTGTCAGACTCTCTCTCTCTCTCTTTTTTTTTTACAAATATAGCATAAAGTCACCATTAGGATCTATGACTTATAAATGTTAGATTGTTTGCAGGAAAGCAGCTGGAAGGGCTCCAGAATGAGATGTCAGCCCAAATGAGAATTGCTGACATCAGTTGTACTTTGTTCTATTGTGTCTGTACTGGGCTCAGACAACCTCTGGAAGTGACTCAATTAACATACCATGTCCAGGATTATGAATTTCACTTATACATTAAGTTTCATACATATGTTCCCAAGGTTTCATAAATATGAAGTAACCACCCCAGCATTATACAACTCAGTAACAGGAGGGTGCACTGTTAACCAACTGAACTCTTCTTCCCTGATTTCTTTCACTAGACCACCCATGCTTTAACTGCAGATGAAGGATACTGCTAATGGGAAAACATCATCCATAAAGGAACAATTGTTTTGTTTTGTTTTGTCTTGTCTTCCAGTACTGAGGATCAAACTCGGGACCTTGTGCCTGCTAGGCAGGCACTCAAGCTGCTGAGCTATCTCTCCAGCCCCCACCAAGGAACAATTGGTGAGAATGTCCTAAATAAGAGAGGTTGAGATACGTGTTTTTAAAAATTTGGTCCTTACCTTATAAGAAGATACCTCTGTTGTCAGTTAGGGTATAATGATATGAAAGTAGGTAGAAGTACGAATTCTCAGCCAGAAATTGAAATCATATCATGTAATAATGCCTCTGAAATAAAATTAGGGGCTACAGTGTTCAGAGACTGATGTTACATGTCTCCCATCTTGCTAAGATCTTAAAGTAGCCTAGACTTCTAACCTTAGCAAAGGTAAAACCCATCAATCAGGCTGCCGTCCATGCTATCCACAGTACCTTTTCCTTTTCTGTCACACAGAAACTTAATTCTAGCACATTTCTAGGAAATTAGTGTTGATGCATTTTATTTTCCTCTGTTTTTCCTTCGTCTTGTAAGCATCTCACTTAAGACCACCACAGAAAATTAGAATTAAAGAGACTCGTGATAAATAGACTGGACTGAAAATGACAATTATTTAATATGTATTATTTCTTTAAATCTATATGTGTATATTGTATATATTCTCTATGTATCTACGTATATGAAAATAGTCATTTCAATTTACAGAAAAGAAAATATTACACAGAAATATCTTATGGCTTTTGAGGATGAATACCCTGGGGAGCAAGATGAAAATAGAATTTTTAAAACAGTATTTCACCTGTTATATTTTAAGCATGTCAAAGCATAGCTTTGTAATAAAACTTAACTCCTGATGAGTTAAATGATTAATTGATTTAAGTAATACTTAAGCCAATTCTTGTTCTTACATACTAAATTGAAATTGTTTGAAAAAGAAGTATTATTTTTAAATATTATTAACTTCACATAAACAAATTATCTCACCAAAATTGAGTCTAAGCACAATGAACACAATGTGTTGCTTGAGAATTAATGTCATAAAGTAAGCTTACAAATGAGTCTTCTATAAAAGTTACATTATATAAAATATATAGTTGTACCAAACAGTACCATGAGAATATTAACAAACTCGCTTGAGGTTTTTTTCCACACACTTTTTGCTTACAAATGTAAGAGTACTAGAAAAAATATTGTGGATTTGATTTTTTTTTAATCTCATAAAAACATCAACAAAATAGACCAACGGATAGCTAAAAGC